TTCGTGAACAATGCATGTTTCAGTCTCAGCACGTGGAATAAATTTGGCCGATTTCATGTAACTCTGTCTTAGGATGTGATAGGTTGCCCCCAAAATATGGCGGTAATTACGTATTTCCAGCTTCCGCGTTTGAATACGGCGTTCGCATTGCCCAAAATTGTGATGAACAGTATTAGTGGCAGTTACTCAGGCGAAATCATCGCGGGTAAGCGAGTTTTGAACGCCACTTTACGCTATCGAGGGATGGAGATGGTGCAGGGTTGGGTTTTTGTGCATAATCCTCACCTTTGACCTTGGGCATGTTCACTCCCTTGGCGCTATTCCTTTCGCGCCATCCCAGTGTGATGCTATTTGAAGTTGTCGACAACACGCTTACAGAGGCTGGTCTCTGAGGAGCTGTGAAGGCAATAAAAATTTACTGTTGTTTGTAGATACAATGCTGACGAATGTAAAATTGTACTTTTTCCACCGTATTGTGGGGCTTTTATTATATGAACGTTCATTACGTTTAGATAGATATCGAATTCTGAGCTCCCACTTTGACAAATGAAGAAATTGATGACCTAGATGCGTATTGCTAGGTCCTTCTGAAATTTTCCCCAAATAAGAAGCACCACGACTTTTGCAAAGAAAAACTTTGTTATACGGGAAGCACGCTGAGTGGGTATTGTTCCCACTATACCACAATAGCCATTCATGAGGTTGAGTTATTAGTGATAATGATTATTCTAGCTAGACACTCACCCAATAATTAAAATGTGATTCAGGAACGTATGGTACGCACAAGTGACACCTAAGTGCTCTTACACGCATAGTGCATACTGATTCTTGTATACTCTAGTTGTCATTACTAACATTTTCATTAATTAAGGTTAGTGAATTAGTCATATTGTTGTTTAGCTCAACCGATATTTGCCTAATCATTGAAATGACAATCAGGCATGTGTAGGCATGCATGCCTAAATAACATTTAACTGCATTCTTTCTATAATCTTACTGATTACCAGCTGATTCTTTGTGACTTATAACAATGCACGCGAAGTATTAAAAAAAACACGTGACTACGGTCCCATCCACAAAACCTTGCAGCATAGTCTAGACTTGCTACCTCACAGCGATCCTGTTTGAGCGCGCATGCTTTCAGATGCGTGCTGCAGCGTAGTCATTTTTTTGAAATTGTGGGCTTTCCCTATTAGCCAGAAGAAAATTGCTCGCAATGACTAACTTGGTCAACACGCACTGCGTGTGCCACTTCCATGGGGCACGCATCACCGATGATGTCTGAGTCGAGACATCAGTAGTGACACCGTCACTACGGAATTAGGTAATCGACAAACTCTAGACAAACATAGTGAAAGTATTTCACAGCGGATTCACAGCCACAATAGCTCTCCATAAAGAAAGAGACGGAATCCTAATAAAGAAGGGTGTAAGGCACAGAAACACAATCTCTCCAATGCTATTCACCGCGTGTTTACAGGAACTTTTCGTGACCCTATACTGGGAAGAGTTAACAATAAGAGTTATTGGAGGGCATCTTAGTAACCAGCGGTTCACTGATGACATTGCCTTGATGAGTAACTCAAGGACGAATTACAACTTATTATCACTGAAGTGGACACGGACAGGAGAAGAGTAGGTCTGAACATTAATATGCATAAAGCTAAAGTGACTTGCAACATTGTCGGCAAAAAACAGCGATTTGTGATAGGTAGAGAAATGTTAGAAGTGTTAGAGGAATATGTCTACTTAGGACAGGTAACAACCGCGGAGCCGAACAATGAGAGTGAAATAACTAGAACATGGGTCGAATAGATCACCTTCGGCAAGCTTTCTCTGATCTTGAATGGCAATCTCCCACTCACACTCAAGAAGAAGGTATATATCAGCTGCATTTTGCCTGTACTTACCTACCAGTCAGAAACCTAGAGGCTGAGGAATAGGGTTCAGTTCAAATTGAGGACGACGCCGTGAGCGATGGAAGAGAAAAAGATCGGTGTATCCTTAAGGGACAAAAAGAGAGCACAATGGGTCAAGAAACAAGCCGAGTCTTTCTCACTTTTTTTTTCTATCTTCCATTATCTCTCTTCCACTTGTTGCCCCGCCGCGGTGGTCTAGTGGCTAAGACACTCGGCTTCTAACTCGCAGGTCGCGGGTTCGAATCCCGGCTACGGCGGCTGCATTTCCGATGGAGGCGGAAATGTTGTAGGCCCGTGTGCTCAGATTTGGGTGCACGTTAAAGACCCCAGGTGGTCGAAATTTCCGGAGCCCTCTACTACGGTGTCTCTCATAATCATATGGTGGTTTTGGGATGTTAAACCCCACATATCAATCAATCTCTTCCACTTGTTCTACATGGCCTACTGTGCCCAGCCGCTACCGTCTAATGCTGGCAGCTGCTGAGCGCGGCAATGGGTATTGCCCGATCCCTGTGGCTAATGCCCACCTGCGCTTTTGAGCGAACACGAAAATTTTTGCAGCCCACTTTGCCAGCTTCGCTGTTAAAATAAAGAAAAAAACGATCAACCTCATGTGATGAAGTCGCCACTGACAGATAAATATCTAAATCCTAACGTCACTGAGTCTACATTATTATCCATCTGGTGGATTCAGTTTTTTTTCAGGAAGCCGTCTGCAGTAACACTTGGTGACGTGGTCTATATCTATGAGCAGGCCATATAGATCGTGCACAAGAAGCGACAAAACCGTGGAAGTCGTTGAGTACTACTGGTTTTTACGATTTATAATAGTATTTTATGTCGGTTTTTGTTGCTACTTGGAATTGTATTAGTATAATATTCATATTTTTTCAACTTCGTCTTTCTGGAAACAAGCATTTGATAGTACGAGTAAACCGTGTTTAGAATTACACTTCTTGTATAACAGATGCCCCGCTTCGAATATTACTAGTTTTCTTAATGCGTCAGGTGCGCTATTGTAAATGTAAAGAGCCATACTTACATTTCTGGGATATGTTCACTGCAATAAATAAGAAAAATACAATACGTGCACTGAAGATACGGTGCATTAATGACTCAAGTGTTTACAAGCACATTTATTAACACTATACAGAAGGAATATGTGATAGCGTCGGTTTAATTGTCCACACGATATTTTATTATGTCAATCAGCAATTATTTTTCACCGAAATCGCCTCGAGGTTGTTGCTCATCTTATTTCGTCTACGAATAGAATGTATTATTACTGAGACCACACGTAGTGAACCACGATAAAGAGAAAAGTGCATCAAGAATTAAACACTTTTATATTGATCACAGTCTTCTATTTACTTGAAATTCTGTAGTAAAAAAGAACATGGATGAGCTCTCCACCATGGAAATCGGTATACCACGAAGGTGCAATAAGCCTCCACAGACCTAGTTTATTGTTTATTATGAATTGATCTAAGCGAGCTGGTGCATTATACCTTCGTGTTCTGTATTTGACGTGAATGCACGCACGCTGACGCGTAGTGTCATATCTGCATCTTAAACATTAGGGCATCCTCATTGCGATGACCAGTGCCCATGATCATGATTTACCACTGTGGTAGCTGAATTTGTTAGCATGTACCTGGACAAAACATACATTGAATACCACGCGAAAATACATTAACAAGCATATATTAAGTACTGGCACTGCATATAGTCTTTCTAAACCTCGTCATTTAAAGAGAGCAACAGCACGGTGTGCGCTCTAGAGGAGTAAGGTTACCTACACCGGTACTCATCAATGCTCTACCATACTGCAGCAACACGGGAGCGAGAGGTTCAAAGCTTGACCAATAAACTCACGAAGGCTTCGCTTCACGTTGGCATCTGTCTCACTCCACCAATGAAAATAAAATTTGTCCGTCGACATTGTTGCCTTTCTGCGATGCTTATTGCCGCAGTTTAATACTCGCTGCTGTCACACTCAAAGCATTAGCCGGTTTAGAACAACCAGTAAACTTGGTTTATGTGAAAGCTGCACTGGTCCTACAGCGCATCACCGCACACTTATTTGAAGCGAAAAGCAACCTGCGCAACTGCACCTAGGGCGACTCTTCGATGTTAACGCGGCCAGCGTCAATCACCGATATCGAGACAATTTGTGCGTCGCCGCCGACCAACTTGGCACTCGTTAATCAGTACGTCTTCTCTCACAGATGGCAGCATCTGCCCGCTTTTTTTTCGTCCCGCCAACAGAGATTACAGTGTGAGTTAGACCTTTTTGAGATATCAGGTGTGTTTGTGAAGCATCGTGCATCTGTGCTGATGTCGTGGTCGTAGACCACCGGGTGTTGGTGTCGCGAATATCGAAGTCACGGGTTGATTTCCGGCGTTGTAACTGCTTCTTCTAGTTTGTGGGCATATAAACGACGTCATATCTGTGGCGGAAATGCGTTAGTAGAGGGTTGATAAACTTTGGCACGTAATACGTTCAAGTTTTTATAAAAAATATGCAAATGACATCATGCTTATTTTGTACGGTTCACCTTACTAAGACCGATAAATACAACGAAAACAAACATCTATAGTTCAAAGATTTAAGACATTAGGACATAGTTCTCTTTCAGATGCACCCACAGTTGCAATATGGTGCTAGAAATAAGTGTTAACGTACTGAATGTCTGTGATACAGAAACAACACAAACCCACTACGAAGCATGCTGGACTACACAAATTACGTTGCTTTCTTGATGCCACCATCAATTTTCACACATGACCATAGCTTAACAAATATGCGATGTGGTTATAAATAACATCCAAACTACAACACTATTATGTGGTAGTTATACAGGATATGCTGCCCTCCACCTCAGCGATTGATGAGGACATTCAACAACTGTAGAAACAAATTCAAGGGCTCGTAAACGTAAGATCAAAGCAAAATTATGAGAAATACACACATTGGTAGATACGAGCCTATTCCACGCTTGCTGTACACCCATCTGTGCACATAAGGCAATGATTGCAGACAGAAAGTGCGTGCAAGTGGGAACTGATTGAAGCGCTTACCATGCACTCGGACTGTGTATTGTACAGCGTCCCTTCCGTACAGGTTGTGTGCGTGGCAGGTGTAGTTGGCGGCGTCATCTGACTCGGCTGCCTCGATGTGTAGGGTGCCCGAGGGCAGCACTCGAATACGGTCACTCTCCCGCAAGGGGCCAGAGCTATTCGTTCAAAGGAACCAAAATATACGCACGTAAGTGCACCCAGTCAAAAAGCAAAATAAAGATTCTAACAGTTCATTTCAATACTAATATTATCTGTAGTTTTATGTTCTAGAACTATGATATGAGGCAAGCACTAGTCGATTACTATGTGAATTTCAACCATTTGGGGTGGGGCTGACGCTGGCAGCTATATTTAACGACCATGTTGACGTTTGAAGTTTCAGGTTGGTGCAATGAATTTTTTGGTCACACTGAGCTTATACCTTCGCCTATTTACTTCTTTTATTACACTCTGCAGAGAAAACAACAAGTTTAAATAGTAGTCGTTTCAGAGCTTTCCAAGTTCAATTCAATTTCGAATTTTCAAAACTTGTTTTATTGTTTTCTTGTACAAGACACAAGAAACAAAAGGATGTTGGGGCTAAAGGCATATAGCCTGACAGGGGACCCAACACCCTTGTACACAGTTCGTACATAAAAAAGTAAAAATAAAAAACAGCTTTCGCGGCATCCAGACCTTTATGAACAAAAGAAGCAACAGAGCAAAGAATAGCTGACAAAAAATATCATGTTATATTTAACCTGACTGATTAAGCAAATCTTGTAACATACTTACTACATACCAATCACTCAGAAAGGAATCAGACTAGAACATTAGAGACATGTGATACATAGCATTGTATGTTATAGTTAACAAAATACAGGCAGTACAAGATTTCCATCGCCCGGCTACTACTATTGCTAACATCAGTATTTTTAGGATCCATCAAAAAGTATGTTTTCCTGCATTAGCACTTCTTTAACTTGTCACCTTAAATGCTTTTTCTGTACAATCGAAATTAATCTTATGCTCTAATTTGTTTAATATGCAAGTTGTTTGATGAATAAAAGTTTGTTTACCATAATTTGTTCTTGTTCGTTGTGGACGGCGTAATTTTTGGCGGATCGGATAAGTGTGTTGTCTAGTTCCTTCGTTGAACTCATACAGTTTTCTGCTGTATATGATTTGCAATATTTTCATATAATAGACTTGATCGGCATGGTGCATATGATATCTTTTAAATAAAGGTGCTGTCCTCAAGTTTGCGTAATTTACTTGGTGTTTGCAGTATATGCGGAGAACGCTTTTTTTAGAAGTACAAGTTACTTGTAGTTAGTTTGGTAGTCGTTCCACACAGAAGAGCTCCATATCCCAGCTTAGAATCAAAAAGGCGATTGTATAGCTGTTGTTTCAGCCATAGGGGAATCAGTTTAGAAATTCTGTACATAATACCAATGCTTATTGATAAGTGTACACATAGTTGGCTAATATGCGCGTTCCAGCTTAACACTTCATTAAACGTCACTCCAAGAAACGTCTGGTATGTCACTTGCTGCAGTTTCATTCCTGCATAAGTAATGGTTATTTCCTTATTGATGGGTGTATTGCGCGATGTGAATATAATGTATTTTGTTTTTTCAGCGTTTATTTGCAATTTATTTCGATTCATTCAGCACGATAGTGATACAAGGTAGTGATTCACACTGTATTCTAATTCATTCAGGTCCCGTGATTTAAAAAAGATTGGTGTCGTCGGCGTACATAATTAATTCTTGGGAATCAGGTATATTAACTATATCATTTACGAAAATTATGAATAATAACGTACCCAGCTTAGAGCCCTGAGGGACGCCTCGTTGAAGCGTTAGATAACTAGACGAAACATCCTGCATAAGTACGAACTGTTGACGATTATTTAAATAGCGTATCAGCAACCGACTTGCAACCCCCCTAATTCCGTACTTCTCTAACTTCTGTAACAAAATTTTGTGATCTATCGAATCAAATGCCTTTTTAGATCTAAAAATAGACCGAGCGTATAGTTTTTGTCTTCAATAATATTTATTATTTTATCTTTGATATACAAGAGTGCTTGTTCAGTGGATTTATTCTTTTGGAAGCCATACTGACTCGTTGTAATTACCTTGCGTGCGTTAAAAAAAGTAACTAATCAGACGTAAATCTTCGAAAATCTTTGAAAACACAGGTAAAATAGACATTGGTCTGTAATTACTAAATTGTCCATTATCCCCCCCCCCCCTTTGTGTATTGGCGTAACTCGGGCTATCTTCAATTCTCCCGGGGAAATTCCACCAGTTAATGTTAAATTTTGTAAATATGCTAGCACTTCGCTAATCTCATACACGACATGTATAACTGCATTCGAAGTAATTTCGTCTATACCCGCAGCTACATTTCGTTTTAGCTTTTTTATTACTGCTGCTACTTCGTTGGGATCTGTTGGTCTTAAGAAAATAGTTTCATTGACCTCGGTTATAACTTCATTATTATTTATACTGCTTTCTGCACCAGGTGGATAAGCCCCTGCTTTTATAAAATGTCTGTTCATATCGTCAACTAGTTTTGTGTTTTCTGCTGTCGTCAGGGCTGTGTGGGATTGGTCTCTTTTTGTTCGTCCTGCTAGATAGCTAACTGCTTCCCACAATTTTTTTGGTAGATTTCGCAGCCGATAGAAAAGTTCCTCAAAGTACGCGTCTTTCACCCTTATAATATCGCTGGCTGTTTAATTTATTTCTATATTTCTTATACTTCTTTAGCACTTCTGGATGGCGATTTCTAAGAAACTTGTGAAATATTGAATTCTTATATTTTATATGTTTATACAAGTTTTTATCTACCCATGGCTTTCTTGCTTTGTTTCTGTGATAAGCTTGTTGCAATGGAAAAGCAATGTCATTGTATTCGCGCATACACTGCAAGAAGATACAGTAAGCTTTCCCAGCCTCGGATTCACAATAAACATCTTGCCATCGTTCTTTTGAAAGCAACAGCCTAAAATTCTCCAATGTTTGATCATTAATTTTGCAACAAAAATGAGCTGGCTGACGTGCATTTCCGATATTGTAGCCGATTTTGATAATGCGAAAAATCGGAAGATGATCGCTTACATCAGAAACTAGAACACCTGCTTTGATGTCACTACTGCGTATGTTTGATAGGCATACGTCTATTAAATTACCAGAACTTGCCGTTATTCTTGTGGGCAAATCAATAAAGTTTTTGAAAGCATGACAATAAACAAGATTACTTATCTTAAGTGACCATGTGTCTTCTGAGATCATGGTTATGTTAATATCACCCATGATAATGGAGAGTTCACTTGTTTGGTATTGATTTTGAAGTAACCGCTCTAAAAATTATTAAAATTAATTTTTCGCCCATTCGGGGGCCTGTAAATTACAGATACTGTTGTTTTTCCTAATCTCAGCGTTAAAACACTCGACATCCTCACTAATTTCTGAGAGTTCTTCAGCCAAAGAGTAAGAAAGGGTGTCTTTGACATATATTGCCACTCTGCCCCCTTTTTTTTGTTCCTCACCAGGTGTTCAGAATTATAGCCAGGAAAAAATGCATGAGTTTGATCATGTACCGTCATCCAGGTCTCGGTTATACAAGTAATATCGAATTTTACTGCTGTCGATTCGAAATAGATGCTCAGATCTTCTACTTCATTTCTCGTGCTTCTCGCATTAATCTGTACGGCTCTCAAATCATTCTCTTCATTTAACTCTTCCGAAAGTCTACCCAAGGTGTAGTATCTATTTTCTTTGTTTTTCTTTATTTTCTTTGTTTTGGATTGCCATTTGGAAATGCCTCTCAGACACTTCCCGTCTATTCTAATGGTGCTATTTTGGACATATAGTCTCGACTAGTTATGCGCAGAACAGGAGTGTGGTCGTCCCTTCTTGCGCATATTTTGCCTCTTGACGTCCAAACGTTACTTCCACGTTACTTCTCTCTTTCTTTGTTTTGCGTGTTAGCTCATGGTCTCCTCCCCTGTCCCTCCACTCCCCGGACTGACGTGCATCGAGGCACTCAACGCGCAGCGTGAACATGTTGCTGTCCTTTTAACAAATTGTAGACGTCATTGCGATCTATAGTCACAAACGTGGTGTTTGATGCACAATTGACTTCTCAGAACTTGAACTGGCGCTACTGGTTCGAAGCGAAGTATGTATTCCCTGCTGTTATTTACAATCACATCCCATGTCACTTCTTGCTCTCAATGTGAGAAGACAATTTTGAGAACTACGATGGCGGCGAAGTGGGTGCTGTTGCCCATTTTGCGGGTTGGTCGGTGAGACGCCCAACAAACTACAAGAATGAGTAGCGTGAATTCTATCGGACGGATTACTTTCACAGCCTTAACTAAATTAGAATGCTACCATATGTTCGGAAAGAGGCAGCTCGCAAACTCAAAAAAAAAAAGGAGAGAAAGAGAAATGTTTAATATAGGCCGCCAATCTGCTCCAGCAAGACACCCGGACGAAAAATGGTTGGATGCGCCTCTGTAGTGCTCGGTAGTCATTGCAATCGCTCTGTACTAATACTGTGCACTTGTGGTTAAAAAAACAGAACATGTAAACAAATTTGATTAGTAAGTTCAGTTTGGATACCATGTCATGGTCACACCTAACAATAAGCTTATCGAATCACAGGGCTGTGCCCTGCGCCGCCATTTTCACCCAACATAATTCTAGTGAGCTCCACTGCGTCTTGATACTCTCACTGGGTCGGACATTGACGAAGGAAGCACTCGCCGTGTCAAGATGAAAGTCTCTATATGAGCGAACCTGTGACCGCGAAATGGAAAGTCAGATTACAGGCAACACATGCTGGGCACTGATTGCGGCGAACAAAGCGTAGCTCATCTATAATCTCACAAGCGACAAATCATGTCCGGCTTCTATTCAAGTTCTATTGGAGATTCCAGCTAAATAGCTAGTGGCCGTGCGATCTTTCCAAGAAACTAGACAATTCGCGTCCTGCACGCAATCCCAACGCATTGATCTAAAACAACAGGGAAGCTTCTGAAACATCGCGTTGCGCTTGGCACGGAGTGTGCAAACAGTCTTTGTGGGGGAAGCCCTAAGATACATCAAAATAACACGCGTGCCAGAACACTTGGATGCGATGTGGTAACATTATTGCGTGATTATTATACTAAATAATTTGATATTGTAGCTTAAGATCTGTGCTGAAATGATCACCAGTCACCAATATACGCAAACTACTGACAAAAAAGGAACTTCAGAAAGGTTGTAGGGCTTCTTTATTCTATCTGAAGAACAAGCTGCGTCCATTAAGCCAACAATCACATGCGACCGCGCTCTTTCATGACAAACAATCCGACCAGCGCACGCGTGCGCTTCCGCACCGTCCTGCTTTGAGGGAAGCATTTTCGTTAAATCCTGCCGGGATAGACATGTACCCGCTTCACAGTGCCACCACTGCAACAACTCCAGCCAAACACTCTAGCTCGAGCCATATGCAGAAATGCGGTCACGTGAAAACGTCACAAAATTGCCGAATGAAGCGCAAAACCCACAGACAGAACGCAGCTATTCCACATCTGCGTACACCCGCAAGAAAGCCCTGCGTTTTTCAACGTACTGGGCGTTACTAGCACGGTCACCCCTACGCGTTTCCTTCATACGCGCGGCTGCTGCCGACTACCAACTATTACTGTATATTGTCTGTAGATAGCGGTGTACCTGTATGTTCACCGCATTCATTTCCTCATCAGATGCGCAATCAGTAAGGGGGGGGGGGGGTGAATATGTGAATTGGTGGTATTCAACGTTACACCCTTTCACCACTCCTGCGCTTACCGAAACTTTTCCACTATGTTCGCTGTATTAACAGGCACACATGTTAGTGCACTCACGAACATACATAACGCACGCTATAAACCGTCTGCCTCTTGCTCGTCAAATTAGCGGCCGGGTTACTTGTTCCCGCTTACCACGATGTACACGTTCCGCTGTGAATAATGGAGTCTATAAATCAAACCTCTACGTTTACAGCAGCATACTATATCGTCACCGCAAACGAATGTTGTGGCTCAAGTCGATAAAGAACCAGCACAATCATCCAAAACAGCCATTGATGAAATGAATTAATTATTAAGTCCCTTTTGAAACAGCTCTATTAATATGGCGCGAGTTTCACGTGGGTTCCCGCACGTTTTTTTTTCTTTTTGCTATGGCCAGCAATATATATTTATCGCCTTCCATGGAAAGCTATGGAAAGCCCGCATAGAGTGAGAATTTCACACTCTTGAACTCTTTCAAAAGAGCGGTGAGGGTGCGCCCGAGAAGATAAACGGTCTGGACGGTGACGCAGATGCTGTAAGTTTTCCGTTATTTTTCTTCCTTGCCACGGACTTGCCGCGACAGCGCTTCAACAAATCGGACGACACAATGGAGGAGTCAAAGGAAAGAGAGCGCGCGAGAGAAATAGGCTTGAGTCGAACCAAGTCGGAAGTCTAGCCAAAGCATCCATTGCTAAAGGCACCGGCGCCTTCCTTTTTTTCTCTTTTACTTTCTTGTTTTCAGAATTGTAACTATACGGGCAGGTTCTCTGAGAGCTAGCATTAAGGTGTCGGAGGGCCTGCTGGCCATTTCGAGTGCAATGACATCGCGTGCGATCAATCTCAGTTCCAGCTTCTACGCTGGCTATGGTAGAGGTGCCCGTTCGACATGAACACACAGCGCTGGCCGTGCACCAAAGCCGCGAGCTCTTTACCGCAGCTCTATTGCGAGCGTAAGCCCTCTTCGTGAGCTAGCGCACTGATGGGACAATGCCGCGAAACCGGCAAAGCTGAAAGTCCGTCTTCTCTCCCCCCTCCTCCTTGTCTCTACTACCAGAATCGTTTGTTTGCGCCCGCGGCCGTTCGCAATGGCCTCACTCTCATTGTTGGCGAAGACAGCGGCCGTCTCTCACGGGATGAACGCGCCTAATACGTGGCATTGCAGAACTGGAACGGAAAGCTAGGGCAAGGTCTCTCTTATTGTCGAGACGAACGATTCAAAGGACGATGACGGCAGGTAGATTACAAGGCGGGCGTAATAGAATCGACCCGAGAATGAAAGAAGCGGTCAGGCGAGCGGTGATTACAGCAGGTGTCCTGGTAATCACCGCCACCCGTCGTAGTTTGTATGCCAGGAAGTGCGTTGGATGCCGGAAAAGGCGCATCTTGCGAGAAAAAGGATGTTAGTGGGACAAAGAGATATATTTGGGAGGAAAGAGTAGTAATCAGGAGAGATAGAAGAACCAGAGTGATGACACAAAGAAACACCCCTCCCGGCTGCAGTGGAAAGTGACGCATTCGGGAGAATAAAGGAGCTGTTTGGAGGGAAATGATCGTGCATGGTACGAAAAAGGTCGCAATAATTAAGAACGGTCGCGTACGTGGCATCACTGCTTTCAGGCTGTTTACGCAGTGAATGCGAAGGACTACGTATTAGCGACGTGCGACTAACGCAAAAGCCGTCTCCCTTCCAGCGTGACGGATGGTAGAATTTGATTTTGTGAGTTCTAGCATCTGGTTTCAAAAAAAAAAAAGGCAGATCCCACGTACCTCGGGAATCGACGATATGCGAAGCATGCGGAGAGAAGGTGAGGGTGCTGCAATTTTCTTTCATTGAGCGACACATCATGAAATGACACCAGATATATGTACGAATGTCGCACGCACAGACATATGTTGAATAGTTGCAGATGTTTATATAACCAGTTGTTTGCACTTGTGTAACGATGACTACAGGAACGTGCGTGTTAGCAACACGCGAGTATGCTGGCCAGCATGGCGAGTATGCTGGCCGTTGACACTGCTACATTAATCGACTTCAGCGCATGACACCTAACCACCATTGACGCTAACCCGACGTGACAGCTGTATCAAAAATCTACATATGTAATGTTTGATTGATTGATTTGTGGGGTTTAACGTCCCAAAGCCACCATTTGATTATGAGAGACGCCTTACTGAACGGCTCCGGAAATTTTGACCGCCTGGGTTTCTTTAACGTGCACCCAAATCTGAGTACACGGGCCTACAACATTTCCGCCTCCATCGGAAATGCCATATGTAATGTTTAGAGAATTGGATAGGAAGTGCTGCAACCACTATTGACGTTTCACGAACGCTATAGCGTCTATTTGAAAAGTAGTTCCGAGACCTGGCGTAGCTCTGTGGTGAAATGCTTCATTGTCACGTCGAAATTTTGGGTTCCATTCCAGCTGGAACCCTCATATTTATTCTTTGCATTCGTCGGGTCTACGCTGCCGATATCAGGCATTTCTTTACGTTCGCGCTTTAAAATTGCCCATGTGTGTTCTCGTCGTTCCTCGGTAGATGCCAAGCGTCAATCACCTGGGGTACATACACCCAAATCTGTGACACATTTGTATGTGCCAATGTCTGCCGAGAAGTGTTTGACGACGTACGTGACGGGATTGTGACATTACTCATGTTGTGACCAGCACGTGATATTCGTCAAACCATTTTATCCTGCCATTCTAACTTTGGTTCACGCCAAGTTAACCGAGTTATCACGAGAGCACCCATACGTAAGTGGCTAGATAGATAGATACGCTCAAAGTCACCGAAGTGCGCTAAGAAATGCTTTGCATTGAAAAAAAAACGTATAGGGTTATGTCCTAGCGCCGCACCCGGCACGAGCGAAAGATCATAGTGCGCGTGCCATTTGCTAATAGGAGAGAATATTCTATCTCACGCGAACGCACCTTGTCCGCCACTCCCTCACTGGTGTCGGTTGTCCCGCTGTCCTGCAGGGAAGCTCCAGGTCTTGTTTCAGTGCAACTGCTCACTTCCCGGCTGAAGGACGCTATGCGTGCCGGAGCTGCGAAACATGAAAACGGTCCCATTTGTTCAATGATTAAACGCGATAATAGGTCAGCAAAAAGAGAGGGTGAGGGATAGCAATGCAGTAGCTAGTCAGGCATTCCTTTGCTCGTTTTGCTGAAACTTGACATTCTCACATGTTTCGCCTAGTAGACGAGAACAATACTTTTCTGAAGGAATACAGTGGGAGAGGAATCAATAAAGCAAATCGAGAGAACAGTTCTCACCCCGTACTTCCGGATTCTGTGTGACGATGCGCGTGGCCGGTCCCTCACCGGCTCCGGTGGACGCGGTCACCCAGAACTCGTAGCGCTGACCCGTGCGCAAGCCTCGGGTCTCGTGCCAGAACTGGGAGGACGGCACGGACACCGGTCGCGCCGGCACACCACCTGAACCCGGCTGCGCATAGATTGAAGCGTCGTTTTTACGCAAAGTAGTGAGAATGGTATATATGCTTCACTTATTTACAAACATCACCATGCAAGAGTGGAGAGGAGGAGGAAGGGAAGGAATGAAAGACGCAGAGGTCAACCAGATGCGCGCACGGTCTGTTACCCATGCACTGGGGAGAGGGTATGAAGCGGTAAGAGAAAAGAAAGAGGAAGTAACAGAGGATCGTGAGGGTACATGTGCGCTTGTACACCACACGGTCCACCTTTAAACTATGCAAAGGCCACAAAAACGTGCTTGATTGACGTCGTCATGGAACTCCTGCAACTAAAATAGCTCAATTTGTATGTGCTTCCTTTTCCTCCACCTTTGAGATTGGGGGAAACTGTATGACGCCTGCACACTCATGCGTTAAGGTGAGCAGTTTCTGTATGAAGATGACAAGACCACTTGTGGAGAGTTTTGCCGCGACACACTGTTTCTAGAATATCCATCTCTTTAAACCTCCATCTTTTTAACAACTTTAGCAGTGCGAATGGGGTAGCCACTGAACGTTTTCACCACTACGTTTAAAGTTTTGGCAACACTTTCAGGAATCATGCGGGACACCATGAAAGTATTCAAAAGAAAAGCGACTACGCATTTAACACGTCGCCTGCCGTGCTAAACGCCTGAAATATTACAGTTATAAGTTGAGCCACTCACACTGTGGATGCTTATCGCATCATTTACAAAGGTTTTGTTTGGAAGTTGTTGTTTCTAATCTATTCTCGAAGCACTGCCAGCATGCTAGCTCAGCAGCTGTCTCGGCGAAGCACTACGGGTACCGTGGAAGAAACCGACGCCCACTGCATGGGATCTCTGCCAATATCGGTGCGTTTATCCCAGCGAAGCAGTGCAACTCTGCAGAGGCTAAAATTTTGAACAGGACAGTTCTTTCTTTGTATCGTGGCTCTGGTGCAAGATAAGAACTGTTTCCAAGTTTGCTTTGACACCACGTACTGAAGGAGAGAACGAACCGTGCAAGTGAGCAGACTGCAGATAATAAAAAAAAAAGGGGGGGGGGAGAAAGAGAATTTTCATTCGAGTTCACTTGTCGCAACTTCCATCCCCCTTTTGTCGTTTCCAGTACACAATACGATTCCTTTTTACAACTGAGTACTCGCTAGTTCGGAAGTTTCTTGCTTCTTTATTTCCGCCATCTGACGCCTTGATTTCGAACAAACACCAGTGAAACGCTTTGTCGTATTCTAGTTTTTTTGCGTCACTGCAGTCTATAGTGGATAAGAACTTGTGCTTGGAAGCTGTGGCAAAGTGGAAAGCATTATATAGTGAGTTATTGCGAGAGCGGGCAAAGACACGTTGATACAGAAACTAGAAAATAAGCTTGAAGACAATTCGCGCTGGACATGATCAGTAGTCATTTATTTACGTCTTCTTTTTATAAAAAGAACGGTTCTGCAAGGCCCGCTGTAAGTCTTCGAGTCGATTGGAACATGTAAGCTGATGCAAGCGCAGCTCACTTGCTGCAATCCCGTATGTAGGTTTAGGTCTAGCTTGGGAGGAAGAGCGGGTCCTACCAGGCTACTTACTGACTATTATTCTTCGCCAGACTTGTCTGTTTTTATTGCAAGATGTGGACTTGAAAGCTTCAAGGCCACTCAATATTTGTTAAAGAAGGCCAGAAAGAGCGGCGATAGCTGGACTAGTCTGCTTGAAGCGTGCTATATAAAAACAGGCTCTCAAGGGGGAAAAAAGCCGCATAAGACGACGTTCACTTTCGTGTCGTCACGCCTCCTGGCAGCTCGATATGCTCACTGCCATGCGTCATTCTCAAAAACTCGGGCCAAAAGGATCTGGCGAAATTGTGCAAGCGTCGCAGAATCTGCAAATGACACTGAGTTTCATCTATAATTTGATTTTGACGCAATTGCAAATGTGCCTCACAGTACTTTCTTAATTCTGGAGATAGAATTAGTTTGATAATTCTTAAGTCAGCAAAGCAATGGTTCAATAGGCAACTTGCTTAACTCACAGAGCTGAGGGGTTCTACGGTAAAGCTAAGCCACTTCGATCGTTAATCTTGTTTCTTTCTGTAAAATTGTGTGATATAGTTACATCGTAGATTATGTCATTCAATTCGTGAAAGTAACCGATTTCTATTTTGAGGCTTTAACTGGTTACTTCTACAGGCGATCAATAATTCTATATATCAGCAACTCTGCCAGCTTCCGGGAGCAATAAGTCTTTTTTCTGAAATCTTTAGATTTGTTCTATAAAAATGACTCGTAAGCTTCTAATTGTAAAACAGCCTTATCAGTATACAAGCGTTTTCATGTTGGCCATCAAAGTTTAAAGGGCTCACTGCGGCAAATAAAATTGATTAGTGGAGCTTTCTTTCCAAGAGCTACGCACTTGTGGCTCGGCAAGGCTACTTGCTCTTTGAAGTCGCTACGCATAGCTTAAGCTGTGTATGTGGATCGCAAATACTGCCCTTCCGACGTGTCGTTGCCCTATGGGTGAGCACAGTCAAGTGAAATTCATATGTACGCGGCGGCAGGAGTCTGCATGACAGCCAGGTGCGTGGTGTAGCCGGTCATATCGTTGCAGGACTTCCTCATTGATTTAGAAGATTGACTGCAATCTTCTGACTCACCCGCCTTGGTATCTCAGCCGGCGGGGTGTCGCGTAGCTAACCACAAGAACACAGGCTTATTTTCCGGCCACGGTGGCTGATTCAAATGGGAACTAAGTGCAAGAATACTCGCATACTTTGACTCGTTTGTCACAGGTGCGTTTTGAAGAAGCACGGCTAGACAAAAGTGTACCTGGGTCATCTAATACGCCGTGCCTATAAGTATGTTGATTAGGCACGTGAAATCCCGCAAACTGATTGTCCTCCTTATGTTGCATAAATAAATAGAGCTCATTGACATGAAAAACAATGCAGTACTCAAAAAAGCTGTGCGTACGTTGCCACTTCCAGCGTGCTAATTGATTACCCATGAACGAGGAAAGAATCCTTTGTAGCGTTATATGATGTCGCCGCCCATGCTCCTATTCGTGTTTTATGGTACCACTAATTGCACGTTTAGATAATGCCTTGCACAATCTGTGGTAGATTGTCAGAGCATTATAGACAGCTTTCGGATCATCTGCCTGGCTTGAACACACAAACACGATAAACTGAGAATATTCTCGAACAAACGCAGATAACAGCAATAAGGCTAGATTGTCCGATGCCACATGTATATCTGGTGGTGTGCCTTCCCGCTGCTCACATTACCAACGGCCGACGTTCGCCGCTATCAATCTACAGCGTGTATTGGTATAGAGTGCCGTTTCGCATTTATTCCGTGGACAGGTTTGCCGAAATACAATGTGCGGTCCAGAAAATTCTGCCAGATCCCACGTACCTTGCGTATTGACATTATGCGAAGCATGCGGAGGGAACGGGACTGTGTTGTAATTTTTTTTATTAAGCGAAACGTTATGGAACTACGCTAAATATATGTACAACTTCCCTACACAGAGGCATCTGTGGAAGGGTCACATACGTTTTGTTAAGGCAGTTGCTTAGAGTTCGGTAACGATGCCAACAGCAGCATCGATACTACCGATATCCGAAGCGGTAAGCTGTCCAGATAGGTGGAACATTCGCTTCAGGTTTCTCAGCTGGTCCCTGGAAGTTGGCGGGCTCGATCTCAAACGTGGCGGTCGCGTTTCTACGAAGACGAAATCGTTGCTTTGCTTGTACTGTGCGATGTCAGTGCACGGTAAACAACATCTTGGCTTGTCTAAATTTCTGGAGCCGTCCACTATGGCCCTCCATTCTCGCCATAATATTGCGTTTTTGGGACGTACCACCATAGTTAATATTATTGAAAGGGCAAGCTCATATTTAGCGCCTGTTCATTCGAAAATGGTGCTACCAAATAGACTCGTACTGCACCCACCAACTTCAGTGGATTGCGGTCAAGTGCACAACTGACGGGAACCCGACATGACGCCTGCATCATAGGAGTAGATATGTAACGAATGTAAAATTAAATAGCTAGGCCTTGCAACCACAAATGAAGTTTCAGCAACTTTACGCCTGCCTAGGGGCTTTTTTCCAAAGCGGTTTAGTGACCTGGCGTGGCTCTGTGCAGAATACTGAATGGCCATGAAGCGTGCTTGAGTTCACTTCATGCGAAGTCGTCATATTTCTTCAGACGTTCAACAACGTACACGACGGAATTCATGCGTCATTCATGCCATGACTAGCTGACACATTCGTCAAATTCTCTAACGCTCCCATACTCATTTTAGTCGGCCCCAATTCAAGGAGGCGATCACGAGAGTTCAGAGATGTTGCCGGTCATACATACATACATACATACATACATACATACATACATACATACATACATACATACATACATACATACATACATACATACATACATACATACATACATACATACATACATACATACAGACAGACAGACAGACAGACAGACAGACAGACAGACAGACAGACAGACAGACAGACAGATAGATAGACAGATAGATAGATAGATAGATAGATAGATAGATAGATAGATAGATAGATAGATAGATAGATAGATAGATAGATAGATAGATAGATAGATAGATAGATAGATAGATAGATAGATAGATAGATAGATAGATAGATAGATAGATAGATAGATAGATTATAATTTTCTCCGGGTAGGGATGAAGTGTACTAACAATCCTGGTCGAACTTCAGCAACTACCGACGAACGAAGCGCACAGCCATGAAATATCTGAGGAGCCCAAACGCCGAAGTTCAATAGCAGAATGTATTCACGGACATGAAGTACAAACCGTCGAGGCGTTGCTCAGTGCTACAACAATACTCCTCATATCAGCTCGATCGGCGCGGTTAATACAGCGAGTATCTAAACAAAACAATTTTATATCACACTTTGCTATAGCAACGAGTACTTCGCCTAAACTAAGAAATAACGGAGCTGCACAGCAAA